TGTTTTAATTCGTAATTTATGCCCGATCTAAAATTATAATATTTTTCTATTTCCGATACTATATGATGTTCATTCGGCGACTCTATTAGTTCACCGTGTACTTCCTTTACATTTTTATTCGTTATTACGGTTGTTTCTGATTTTTCAATAAAATTCGCGTAACTTTCGTCTTTGATTTCCTTAATAGTGTATATACGACATAATGCGTCAACATTTGCGTTTTGTACCCCTGGTTTATATTTAATTTCGTAATTATATTGTTCTAATTCGATTCTCCACCTAGTTAATTTAGATAATGGATCTTTTAGATTAAATAACCATGATAGTGGTCGGTGATCAGTAAGAAATGTGAACTTTCTGCCATAGAGATATGGTCGGAAATGTTTTACCCCGAATACGATTGCTAGACATTCTAATTCCGTTGTTGAATAATTCTATTCAGATTTATTTAACGTGCGTGATGCATACGAAATTGGTAAGTCACTTCCTATTTTTCCTTGAGATAATATTGCTCCTAACGCTTTCCCGCTAGCGTCCGTTGTTAATATGAATTCTTTCGTAAAATCGGGATATTGTAATATTGGTTCTGAGCAAAGTTTTGATTTTAATTTATCGAACGCTTGTTGACAGTTATTATCCCAATTGAACTTTACGTCCTTTTTTAATAGATTTGTCATCGGACTTGCTATGGAACTATAGTTTTCTGTGAACTTTCGGTAATACCCACTTACACCTGGAAAACTTTTGATTTGCTTGACATTCTTTGGTACCGGAAAATTCATGAATAAAGTAATTTTATTTGGATCTGGTTTTATTCTGTGCTCCGAATTTATATGCCCTAAGAATAGACATTCTCTTTTAAGAAACTCACATTTATCTGGTTCTATTTTTAGGTTATGGATACGTAAACGTTCGAATACATCGATTAGTTTATTATTATGGTCGCTTAGATTTTTAGCGTATATTATTATGTCGTCCAGATACACTAGACATTTTACTCCGATTAGACCTGACAAGACATTTGCCATCATACGTGCGAACGTACTCGGTGCTGACGCGAGTCCCATGACTAGTCTTTTGAACTGATAGTGTCCCTGACCTGTTGAGAAAGCTGTGTACTCCCTAGAATCTATAGCTAAATTAAGTTGGTGGTACCCTGCCTTAAGATCTATCAGTGAGGACAGCTGGCACTGACCTAACTGATCTAGTATTTCGGTAATATTAGGTAACGGGTGAAATTCATTCAGAGTCACATTGTTTAATGCTCGGGAATCTATGACTATTCTGAATTTTCCTTTCCCTGATGCATCGGCTTTTTTCTTTACTAGTAATAGTGGTGCATTAAAAGGACTCATGCTACATTCTATTATGTCGTTTTCTTCCATTTTTATAAGTTCTTTTTCAATTATGGGCATTTGCGCGTGCGGTAACCTATACACTGAAAAAAATATTCAGTTAGGAATACTGAAATACAGTAGTTACAACCATGCTTACCGGTTGGCTCAGGGACAACAATATCTTAAGTTAGAGTAACAAACTCATTTTTGTTAACTAATTATTGTCATGGATATAAAGTAGTTTGTTTCAAATACAAAACGTAATTTAGGTTTGCTTAAAAAATTCAAAACTAAAAAGTTATACTTACAAATTAATTTGTAGGTATGCAGGATAATATGTCATTGGTGTCACAAAACAATTAGTTAAATTTGTTTGGTATTAGTTACAATAACAATGAATGTTCTTGGTGGCTTACAAGTTATTTTGATACCACTACAGAACTCATTTGTTGTAAGTACATACTCTATAATTTATACAACAATGCAATTTAGTTAATATTGTTGTTTAGATCTGTTATCTCTACAAAACAGACAGTGGTAGGTATCAGGCCCGTAGCCACGGGGGGCAAAGGGGGGCGTTGCCCCCCCTAAACCCAGTCATTGCCCCCCCTAAAAAATATAAAATTGCATTAATATTTAATATATTTATATATAATGCCCCCCAACAATTTGCTTTGCCCCTCCTGAAAATTTGGTCTGGCTACGGGCCTGGTAGGTATAGTAATTTTATTTCTGTTACAATAAGTTACCAAATATTTAGTCGATACAGTGCTCAAATTGTGGGGTTGCTCTTCTTTTTTATTTTTTTTACCATTACCCATCAAATTTTTTTCCCAATTTCCTTTATAACTTAAAGTGAAATTGGAACAATAATTACTTCCTACTTAATTGCATCACCATATTATTTTTCCAATTTGAGCACTGATACTGTAAGCATAATGGTTATAATTAGGTGAATAAATATTGAAATAAAATAACGACTGCCAAATTGATTTTCTTATATTGTTTTTATTACGCATAATATATTTTCAAACAAATTTTATGATTTAGGTATTTTAAAATGTTAAGTAGTAACATTAAATATATTTGTCACATAAATAAAACAACAACATAATTTAAAAAGGACTTCTTACAGTAATATATTTTGTTCCATTTGATACAACATTTAATGTATTTGGTACATGAGAAAGGAGAAAATCCTGAAATACATAACGAATAATATTGGTTTCTGGTAATGTTATTTCATAACAGTAAACATGTTCATCAAAGCCGATTGTTGTTAAAATGTTGCACTCAAAAATTACCCTGTTTTCCGCATAAAGAAAAACATTCTTTACAATCGCAAATTGAGGATTATTATCACTTAAAATGCCTAACGTCAATATAGTTTTAGGTTTGTAACGAGTTCCTCCCACTTCAGCCCAATTTACTCGAAATATTGAATCCTCTACATTCAGATTTAGTTCATTTTGAATTTGATGCCGTTTTATAGAGTCCAATTCTGTCTGAGGTCCTACTTTTATTTTATTACATAATTTACCATTAATAAATGTTTCATTTAACTTAAGTTGGTGTTTGATTGCCAAAGTCTTGCAAATGTTACGCCTATTGAATGAAGACCTTGCTGAAATTTTTGATACTTTATGTTTAGCTTCGTATCTCATAGACCATAGGTGAATTACGGGTCCAAATTTTTTAATAAAAGAGTGATAGTGTGTTAAAAAATGAAATTTTGGTTTTAAACGGTTTTTACTATACTTTAAATAAAGATCATTCATTTCAGCAACTAATGTCTGAAGCATTGAACAACTGTCTAATTCAAGTGATGTTGATAATATAACATCTATAACTCTCCGCATAGCAATATATAGACCCCAAACTGGTTCTTCTGAGGGTACAAAATCACCGACTAGTAAACCAAAGTACCTTACTAATGTCAACATTTCGGATGCAGATTGTCTAATATTTTCTTGTATAATATAATCTTCAGTAAGTGCACACGGTTTATTGTTTTCAGGTCCATAGTCAAAGCAAAATAGTCTGTCATTCAATACTTGTAGCGTAAAAAGCTTTAATTCCTTAATATAGTATTTTAAAATGAAACTCATAATATACTTAGAACACCCTTCTAGCATGTCGTGCATGACATCTACTCCTAGTTGATCAAACAAATTAAAATTATTCACACTAAACCAAATACACTCTTCTCTTACACCAGTAGAAGACACATCATTCAGTGATAATTGAGCATAATACTGATCAGTATGTCTTAATAAACTCTCATCTTCATAACATTGAACCCGTATATCTTCTTTTCTCATTGTACACATTCTACATGGAAAGTTTGAGGAGAAACTCTCAGTAAAACCTGTGATGGAATGCAATCCTAAGTTGTCACCTAATATAAGCCCCAACTCAAAATACAATTTGCCTTCATAATCTGGTGTACTTATTTCAATACCAGTTTCTTGTAAAAAATTTAATTCATCCATTAGAGGCTGAAAAATAATCCTATTTCCAAATTCAACCCTGTCAGAAGAATGAAAAATTAAGGCAAGAAAGATGTTGGATAACACTGTAGAACGATAAGAAGGGAGACATGGTAACGAGACATAAACCCCTCCTAATTTATGTATTCCAGAATGACTACCAAGGGCATTTCCACTTTCAAAATCGTCAAAAAAAACGAAAAGTGGAAAGACAATGCGTTCATTGTGACTAGCAGCTCTGCTTTGCCAATATGTGCCTTGAATAAAGTTTTGAATAAATTTATTATCAGATTTTAAAGTTTTTATATGGTCTAATGTTTCAGAAAGCACATTTTGTATTGAAAAAAAATTTTTAAGAACATTTCGTAGAGGTATAAATTGTTGTGTACAGGTAGAAGGTTCTAGAATGGGTATACCACTTTTAACAACTTTATTGAGTCTTTGACCAATAACCATTTCTGTTGGTTCTATAAAAGAGCCTTGCTTATTAAAATACGAAAACCTTTTATGTTCAGTTTTAAAATTTATTAATGCACTTTCAATATCTTTTACAACATTAAAAAAAGAAGTAAAACATTCTTTTGACATTTTACCTTCAGACAACAATTTTTGTGCACAACTTTGAACAAAAACACCAATACCTTCTGAAAGTACTGTTTCCATACCATCAACAACAATTTGAACAGCATTTCTGGGCATAATAGGATTTGCATACAAACATGCTAGAAATGTACTTAAAGTTTGGTTCAAAATTTCAACCGGTTCTATGGTAAATTTGCTATTACTACTCACATTATATGGAGGCAAAAAAACAGAATTAGCTTTAGTAGTTGCTGTGGACTCTGAGAAAGTATTGTCTTCGAGTAATACTTGTGAATGTGATGAAATCTGTACTAAATCTTTTCTATGTTTTAATAAATGTTTGATATATGAATTTTTTAAGTAAAATAACCTGCTACATTCTCCTTCAGCACAATTATACACATCAAATTTATGATCAGAATGTTGAAAATCAAAATGTCTTAAGAGTATATTAGTATTAATAAAAGTTTTTTTACATATAAAACACGTAAACATATTGTTTTAAAAAACTTTAAGTGTAAAAATTAAAAATAATAACTATGTAATTTGAAGCAGGGAATTCTTTAAATCTAAAAAATAAAAATATTCAGTTTTAAATAGTTATTCCCACATCTGATAAAAAGGCATTGACTGCCGTAAAGTTTTTATCCAACGGTGTATTTAATTTGTATAACCCTTTTTGAATAAAATACCAAATACCTTCACTCTCTGATGGATATTTAGCATTAAGTGTGATTATAATTTTGAAACAGCAATCGACTGCTGAAAGTATTGAATTTAAACGATAAAATGTATTATCAACTATCACAAAGTAACTGGAAATCTCTTTTAAAGAAGAACCCACTATTAATACAAAAGGCTGTAAAGTTTGGCCTAATCCTACCAATTTATCTCTTCTTCTTGATATTGTTTCTTTTACTTCGGCACTACTCAGCACGTGTGTTATAAAACCATCCCTCATCTCTACTTTCGATGGTCTCCATTGCAATTTTGCTTTTTTCCCTTTAGAAATGGATATGCCAATCAGAAATGGTAGACACAGTAACACAGCAAGATTTGAAATGTCCTCGTCTTCTACAAAAAAAAAAAAATACAAGTTTTAATAGGTACTTTAAAGTAATAATTTTAAAAAAAAATGCCTATTAATCATTTTAATCATGTATGGGTTCTTTAAATTTTTTTTTATTTAATAGTGGATCATTTTTTTTCATTATAAGCTAGTTGCTTGCTTGCTTATTAAATTAAGTTTATTTAATCATCATTGAGTAAATTTGTTTCCATACTATTATACTATTATACTTTTAACCTTTAAAACCAACTACCTACTGAGAAATTTAAAAACCCTTTGTTTGAATACCTATAATTTGATCATTTATATTATTTTCAAAAATCAAAAATGATTTTTAACGATTAACATTAAAAACAATTTATTTTTTATAATGTACCTTCAGAGCTTAACTGCACATACTCCTTCAAAAGTTGATTGGTTGAAAGGTCCTTGGATTTATTAATTTTCTCCGTTGCCAATTCGAAAATTTTATTTTTGCACAGAGGTAAACTTTGATACAATTGATCACTAAATCCAGGATAAGCCACATCAAAGTCCTTCAAAATCTGAAAGAATGTTTTATTTTTATGGTGAAAGACCCAAACATATTTAAAATATTTCCCATACTCACAAGAGTATACCCAGCAGGTTTTCTTAAAGATGGAAATTCCGCCATATACTCAGTAATAGTTGGACCATCTTGAGACATTAATTTCTTTAGTCGAGTATTAGCAGTAATGATCCAGTTGTTTTCAACAATATTCCACGGATCGCTTGAGTTGCGCAACCAATTCAAGTTGTCTTCAATTAATGCTTCATTATTTTCTGTTTTGTCGTCTAATGAGCGTAATGATTCTGGTAACAGAATGGGAGATGAATGTCCTGATGAAGATGAAGTACTGTTTCTAGATGGACTGATTAATCCAGATTTACGGTAATCTCTTCTTTTATTATAAAGACAATCAAGTAGTTTCCCTTTCGCTGCTCTTTTAAGCCCTGGCCCATAAGATATATATGGTATGAAATATGTGGCAGTATGTTCCTTATTAAAAATTGTCGTTATTTGGTATGCCAAATCTTGTAATCTCGATGATGGTACTTTGCGATTGACATCATTTTGAAGTTCTTTGTTGATTATTATATTACATAGACGCTTTCGGCCGATACTATCCAGCAGTCCACTTTGTGAGTAAGTTGCCAGTAACGCTTTACCAGCATTTGCACTTTTGAGCAAATCTAATAGCTCCTGAGAAAAAAAAATAAATAGAATTATCACTAATTTGATAGTTAAGTTTTATTTAATAGTCTACATTAACTTAAAATAATTTCATAAGTTAAAATTTAAGTTATAAGTAATAATGCACGAGTTTAAAGTATTGAAAATTTTCTTGATTAAATGCATATTAAAGTAAATTGAATACATTGTATACTTGATAATTTAGATTACAATTTTTACTTACTGAATTGAATGGCTCAGCTTCAGATAAATCTTGAGATGTACTACTATTTTCTTTGATAGGTAATTCATCAAGTTGAAGATATACTGTATTGCTGAACGTATTATCTTCAAGAGATTGCGGTGATAAAATCTAAGGATAAAATTGTAAACTACAGTAAGGTATCTACAAAAAAATTACATTAATTCGATTCTTGGTAATAAATTTTAAAAACAAAACTAACAAATCGAGTATATTATTCTTGATCAATGTAAAAATGTATGTTAAATTGAGTAAATAGTAACAATAAAACGATGTATTTTAAGTTTAACAATACATAATTTACTGTGAAAAACTAAATAGGTACACTTTAAATGTTTATATTCCCCATTAACACTTTGAGTGCCATGTGTATCAATTTCAATACACAACTAATATGTTCATTTGTGCCGTGTGTATTGATAATGATACACACATTTTGTCTTAGAAAATTACTTATTATAGAAAAACAAACCCAGATAGCGCCACAGAACAAAAAACATATGACTCTTGACTATATGTTTAATTCGTATTTATGATTGGTTTGAGGTTATATTAATTTGACATTGATAAAAAAATAAAACAGTTGATAACATTGATATTGCCAAATAATTTTATCACAGAACCATAGTTACTCTGCTGTTTTATTTACTTTATGATAATTTGATATGATATAATAATATCGTACTTATCATTTTTATTAATTGTAACTACTATTTCAATTTGAATCGAATTATTCGATTAATAGTAAGAAGTAAGTTCAAATTTTTTTTAAAAATGAACATAACAAATAAAAGGAAACAAATTGAAGAATGGTTGAACGACAGTAGTGTTTCAGAATATGATGATTCAGATAATGACCCGGATTTTGATATTGACAATAAAACTTCAGAGTAAGTATTTTTATTATTATAATTATAACAAAAAAATAAGATAGGTAAATCGTGTTTTTTTATGGTCTCGAATATATTATATTAGCCTATTTTATTATATAACTATCATGCATAATATAGGTATTTATTATTTATAATAAATCAATTTATTATCTGTATTACAGGGATGATGATGTTGATGTTGATCCGGCCAATTCAGGTGATATATTAGATCAAAATGCAAATACCTTTCTTGCAAACAATATTTTTGATGGGTAAATTGAATATTTTATGTGTTTTATTTTACATAAAAAATGTAATGTTTTTGTGTTATTGGTTTATAGATGTAATGATGACAGTTCTTCTACTTATATGCAACCTTCAGTGGTTTTATTATCACCTAGCCAATCAATTACATTAGACTCTTCAATTTATGAGCAAGATGAAGAACAAGACCTAGTTGAGTCAGTTGTAACAGCATTAGAATGGAGAAATGTCACTGGAAACTTAAAAAATTTAGTATTTACTGCTCCTTCTGGTGTTTCTAATTATTGTATTGAGCAACTTGATGATTATCAACCAATAAATTTTTACAACCTATTTATTGATGATGAAATCATGCATTATTTAGTTAATGAAACAAATAAGTATGCATTACAGTGTATAGTTTCTGGAATAGTCAATGAATCTATTTCAGATTACAGTAGGTTGAATGAGTGGACTGATGTGAATTTGTCTGAAATGAAGTGCTTTATTGGTTTTATTATATGGATGGGCCTTGACAAAAAACCATCATTGAATGATTATTGGTCAAAAAAGCTGTTATATAAACATTTTGTTAGTAAATATATGTCCAAAAATAGATTTAGAGCTATTCTTTCCATGTTTCATTTCTCAGACAATGAAAATTCATCAAATGTTGACAGACTTTATAAAATAAATCCTTTCTTAGATATGATGAATAATAAATTCCATAAAATGTATGAACCAGATGAGTCAGTATGCATCGATGAAACAATGGTACCTTTTAGAGGCAGGTTAAATTTTCGCCAATACATACCTGGAAAAAGGCACAAGTATGGTATAAAACTTTTTAAATTGTGTATGAAAGGAGGTTACACTTGGCATATAAAAATATATAGTGGCAAAGAAAAAGAACCTGGAAAACAAGTTGCTACAAGTGTTGTACTTGAGTTAATGAAACCATTATTAGGGGCTGGCCGAACACTTTATACTGATAACTACTATTATACAAGTGTTGATTTAGCACATAAATTGTTAGATAAAAACACACATTTAGTTGGTACGTTACGCAGGAATCGGAAAAACAATCCTAAGCCAGTTTTGAATTCTATACTAAAAAAAAATGAAATAAAAGCAATGGAAAGTAATATTGGTGTCATAGTAGCCAAGTGGAAAGATAAAAGAGATGTCTTGTTCCTTAGTACTAAGCATGAGCCTATGATGGTAGATGTTAGTACAAAATATGGTCTTAAAACTTCAAAACCAATTGCTGTAGTTGATTACAATGAAGCTAAATCATATACAGATGTGAGTGACCAAAAGGCATCATATGCTAGTACTATAAGAAAGGGAATTAAATGGTACAGAAAAGTTGGTATAGAGTTGTTAACAAATACTGCAATTGTAAATGCTCATTTATTATTCCAAAAAGTAACTAAGAATAAAATAAATATATCTGAATTTAGAGAGAAAATTGTGTTGTCACTTATAGAAGAAAAAATTCAGGACAAAAATGAGCCCATTGATAATTTACCACATAAATTACAGCAAAATGAAAAAAGAGGAAGGTGTTCCAGATGCTATTTAATGTTTTCTAAACAATTTGGAAGGTCTTATGCAGTAAAACATGCTAAACAAGTACAACAAAAATGTCCTGGGTGTGAAAATAAATTTTTTTGTAATGATTGTTTTTTTAGTTTACACAAAACCTCTCTTAAGTCAAATCCTTAATTTTTTTTATAGTTACATTGTTATTTGATGTATTGAAAAGACTTATAATATATGTTTATGTTTATATTTACTATTTAATTTTTATAAAGGTGTTAAGTTTTAGTTTTTATTAACTGATTTTATATGAAGATTTTATTTTCTGTTATTTAACTATTTGATTTTGTTCAATGATTATATACTATGATACAGTGTTTTAGTTTTTGTTAAAAGTTTTATACAAAGATAATGAATTTTACTTTTTTTTTTAACAATTTTATATAAATGTTTGATTATTTTGTTATTATAATTTTTCAAGTTGAATTAAAGAGAAGTTGAATATTTTCAATGACACTGTTTTGTTCATTTGTGCCGTGTGTATCAAAATTGATACACACTTAAAAAACAGACTTAGAATGCTTTTTCCCCCAAAAACCTGTTAAAGCTTATTTTATTGGTGTCTTAGAGTCACAATAAAAGAATAAAAATGTCTTGGTCAGAATGGTCAGTTTTGTCATTTTAGGCCCGGCACTCAAAGTGTTAAATAAAATCTTTGATCAAAAATAGACTAAATTTTAACTAAGGTCAAACCAGAGTAAAGAAAAATGGCAATGCCTAATAAACTTTAAAAATATTAAATTAAATTATTGAAAAATATTAGAATATTAGCTTCTAACCAAATCAATATAAGGATATGAAGTGAACCTTAGTACCTATGTCTAGAACAATGCAAAATACCTTCTTTAGAAGTGTCTTGTACTGTCAAAGCTAGCAATTTTTATCTAAAATAAATATAATTTAGTAGGAATTTTCTGACAGAAGCTAACATACCTGAGATAAACCACTGTTGCCTATTGTTTGGAAGCTACAATTATCTTCAACTGTTACAGTACTGCTAGATGTTTGTGAATCAGTAACCTTAAGAAATACATGTTAAGATTTAATCAACAAGATATAATTTCTTACACAAAAATGAAATATAAAACTTTAGGTATCTAAATTAATAAGCAAATCTTAAAATTAAATCTATTAGGTGTATGGCAACAGTTATATTATCACATTTTAAATAGTACCAAAGCAATAAAAGCAATGACTAATTTAATAACAAGTGATTAGTTTGCACCCATGTTTTTGTAAAAATGAGTGGAGGGTGGTACTAGTATAGTTGAGAAATAGAAAAAATGAAATAAAATTATTACTATGTTTGAAGCGCTTGAGGTATTCGGCATTCCTGATATAATTGCTCTCCAATCTTCCAAATTTGATATAAAGCGAGCTCTATGACCAACTGAAGGGATAAGTTCTTTGATCATATTTTCTTCTTTTAAGAAGAGAAGAGTTTTTATGTCTATGTCATTTTCTATGTAAAAAAAATCATTAATATTTTTAAATAATTAATTTTTTTTTATTTAATAGTGGATCATTTTTTTTCATTATAAGCTAGTTGCTTGCCTGCTTATTAAATTAAGTTTATTTAATCATCATTGAGTAAATTTGTTTCCATACTTTTCAATCATTATAGCTTTATAATTTAAAATGGTACAAAAAAGTAGTTTAAGTAGTTAAAAAGTACAACATTTAAGGGAAAATTCACATAGGTATCTAATTTTCAAAATTATTTAGCCATGTTACCAACTATAGATAGCAATCACAGTGTTAACCTAACAAACTATTTTGGAAATTTGGTGGAAATATAACTATCAACTTAAAAACCATGTGAAGAAAATACTCTCATGTGATAACTAATATGTTGTACCTACAAAACTTGGATAAGTGATACAAATTATGAGCACTAAATTACCATATTGTTTAATATTAGAGAGATAAAGCGAGATAGAGTACTCAAATAAATAGGTAGACTTACACTAAATAGGCAGGCTAAATTTTAATTGTACACGATGACTCTAAAAAATGAAAGCCTTGGAAAAAGCATTTTAGCAAGGTGGGCCTCCGCTGATTACAAACACATCATTTCAATGTTATAATATTAAATGCATAAGCATTAAGAAAAAAAAACTAAAAATTAAAAATGTGCTAATAAAAGAAAGTTGAAGCATGTTGCACGTGTTTTACACTGACCTCTTCGTTTTCTAAGTTAGTAATTATGCTAAAAAACTAATAAGCAGGTAGCATTGGAAAATGGCAATTATCTTCAATATAATATATTACTATATTAGGCCATTACCTAATTTAATAAAATTAATCTTACCTGCAAATACAGTAATGTATTGTTGTAAATTCCACGCAGTCAAAAAATCTTTAACATCCTGATCAGCCATTATCCGAATACTATTCTTTTTTTATATAATATAACTTTTTAAACACGATATAGTAAACGCACTTAATACGCAAAGTAAATAATAAACTAATAATTTAATAGTAAAATTGTTTACGTGTACCTATATTAGAAAAGTCGTGTTACCTATAAGTCAACAGCGGATCGACGCGAGATGCCGAAATTGCAAAATGAGTAAATGACTATTGACACACCAATACACACACATTGTACTGGTTAGTGGTTACTGGGTTATTCCGTATTTCCGTAGTTCTAACAAAACACTACTCTAATATCTGTTATGTTTATAGAACTTTTTGTAATCATCACTTATCATAATCGTAAAATAAACCAAAATACCAGTAACGCGTACTAAATATAGAGTTGTTTTCTCTTTGTATTTTGTTGTCCCAGCTATATGCTTTGTTGTAATCACATAGTATACTTTGGTTATAATTACCAATTTCCAATTGGTAATTTTGACGGAGTATTTAATTATACAAACAAGTATGATTTGTTAGAGACACAAAATATTCTGGTAAAAGTATTTAATTGCAGTATGCACTATTTAAGTTGTATCAATTACAAAACAACTTGTACTTGTAACTAAAGTGCGATTAACAAAAATACAATTGAATATATCACAGATTACATAGTTATACCAAGTGTACAGTTTGATCTGCTTTGCTATATTCTGGTTATGCCTACAATTTCTCATCTAACTAAACACTTCTGTTAATTATTTTAATCATATTTTTTTCAGTGTACGGTTTTCGGTGTATCGGTGGTTGATTTACTGGTAGCTTAATTACGTGTTCGGCGGCAGTAGTCATTGTTAGATAATCGTTTTCTAAATAAAATATATCTGCATATCGTTCGCAGATTTCTATTATCGATTCGCGTTCCTCATTGTTCAAATGATCGCTCCTAATTAAATTCCTTATCTTACTCACACGCTCGTCACTATTATTCACTTCATTTATTTTATTTATATTCGTATCGATGTCGTATTCATATGATATTTTATGAATCTGACCTACTTTTACATCCTGTTGAATCTCTGATATGTTTAACACGCTCACGATAATCTTTCCATCTTTTTCCGTCTTATATATATTTGCGCAATAAACGTCCTCGGATAATTGTTGCTTTTTTATTAAAATATTTTTATTTTCCATATCTGGATCTGCTATCGGAATACTAACTATTGTTTCCGTTCGCGGTTTTAATGTGAAACATATTTTATTGTTGCTTAATTCATTTTTATCTTTTATTATTAATATATTATTTGCGATATCTATTACAGCGTTATTTTCTACTAAAAACTTATGCCCGAGAATCCCGTCCTTGTCGACCGGAAATTGTTTATCTACTACGAAGAAATCGGTTTTGAATTCATTTTTGTCTATTATTAATGTGATTATTACTTTGCCTATCGTTGGTACCTAACCTTACTCACACGCTCTTTATCCTTCATACGTGAAAAATGTAGTCCTAATGTCAATGTTCGCTCTGACGCTTTATATTCAAATGCTCCCTTTAGAATTGATTTTATACTTTCCCATTTATTTGTTTCGCAAATTTACAAGCTTGGAGTGCGTTTCCAGCTAATTTGGAATTGATTATTTTTATTAATAACTCTAGTTTATCTTTTTCTACCGATTTAACAGCGATATCACATGTGTTTATAAATTCTACTACATTGTTTGCTCCCGTGCAAACCGGAATCATTGCGTATATTTATCGAAATCCATCTTTGATTTGGTTTTATTATTTGGCAATTTATTTGTTTTCCTTTGTGTTACACCTAACTCTAAATCCGAAATCCGAATTGGATCCCGTTCCTCCTCTTCCTGACCTGATAGGTACTGGTGATACAATTAATTCTGTACAGGGTCTACCTCCTATTTTTTGTAAAATCTATCTTTGTCAAAATCTTTTGCCCCTGGATAACACTGGTTAAATTTAAATCGATTAATTGTTCAGTTTTAACGGTGCAGTTTGTATCAGCAACAACTGCAGCAACCTTGTCGGTTTGTCCTACTTGTATGCCTACTTCCCTGGTACTATCCTCAATTATTTCGGTTAAATTGTCCGTTGAATCATCCGATATATTATCTGAATCTTGATTCATCAATATATATTTTATTCATTAAAATCTTCGTAATTAAATAAATGTATTTATTTATTTATTCGTTAATTTTATTTTCCCAATAAACACAATAATGTATTTATTTATTTATTCTTCTATTAAATAATTGTTATCTGTATTTAAATAAAAATATCTTACTACTATTTATTAAATACCAAGCTCAATTTTTTTATTGCGACTCGCGTCCTATATAGAATTTGATTTCTATCTCGATATTAAAATTAAATATGATCATACGATTTATTTATTATTCGTTAGTTTTACTAAAATAATTATTACAGAATAGTTGTTAATATTTATCTATTACTATTTCTTATTTCTAGGATAGCCTTAAAATTACTTGTATACTTTTCCCCTTTAATTATGTTTTTTAATTATTCCATAAAAACTCTTGTTTTTTTTTTTTTTACTGTGTGCACACTTCCAGTTATTCACTTTTGTCAGGGCCGGAATATATAATAATAACAAACGAGTCCGGGCACCAAACTCTTTTTTTACGCCACTAACACCTAGGTCTATAAAATATATTATGGAGGACTAGCTGGGTGTGTAGTGGTGTAATAGCTCGAACAACAGTGGTCGGGATTGCCGGGCAAA